TAGATAATGTAGTTTTGCCGATTTTGTTGAGCTTGCATAACAGTAACTACATCCTCCAACTCTTACTCCACATGACCACCCACTTGCAAACGTTGGTGCATGTTATCCAACCATATAAATACACGAGCATGTGACTAAAACATCAAAGAATTGTATATTATTAGAATGCACCTATGACACTAAGATGTACTTAAAAAAAATTATGAATGCAAATAAAAATCTATACCTCCTAAGCTGGACATCTATAGAACGAACGTCCAGAATTCTTTGAAGTTCCAGCCGTATAAAGATTCATTCGACCGGGGAAAAAAGAAAAAGGAAAGGTAATTTATAAATCACATCTTCTTTGCCATTTTATTTTTTTCTTACCCTCCTTCATTTTAGAACAAATTAAACATACAGTTAGTCATCTATTGGCTGTTGCTGTAAAAAAAAATCAACCTCATTTAAAAAGCACTTCGACAAACTCAATCTAACATGGATCCAAGGTCATAACATTCATAAAAATAAAAATAAAAAATAAAAAATAAAAAAGTAATAATCATAGTTGACAATAATCAAGATTAAATTATACCCAAATAATAAAGAGAACCCAGATGTAGACAATTAGAAATAATCAAGATTAAATTATACCCAAATAATAAATGTCTTTATCTAAGTTTCACATTCCTTTGGTGAAGTGATAATTAGGTTCTTTTTTTTTTTTTTTTTTTTCTTCTTCTTATGAGGCCTGTCCACAAACAACAAAAAACAAAATAAATGAGAGCTTTCAATTGACTTGAATGCATAGCTTAAGTTAACAATTTAGTGTGTACAAAATGTTTAACAGAGACCAAGACTACTCAACAATTGGGACATAAATGAAATTACATTTTTGTATGTGAATTTGTGAAGGGTATTTTGGGTATTAAAAATGTATCCCTCCCTATCTCTCCCTGTCCTCTCTTTTCTCTTTAGTTAAGCTACCCAAACACACTTTCACGTTATCTTTTCTTTTCTTCTCACTCCCTACCCCTCCAAATCAACCCTACCAAACACACCCTTACTGAATGAGCAAATTTAAAAGCTAAATGAAAGTAACTTCAAATACGGAGTAAACAATTATAATAAAACCATAAATGGATCAAATTCAGCATAAATCTTGAACCCAAACCTATAAAGAGAATACCCACATCAAAATTTGGGGGAAGATGAGAACTTTGAGTATAAATACACACGCACATATATATGTATGTATGTACGTATAGAAAAAGATAGAGAGAGAAACGCCTGTGAATCCGGGAGTGCAGAGAGCAGCGGCGAAGCTTGGGGTCGCCGGAAAACGCAGTTAAGAGGTGAGACAGAGGGACTTTGTCTTCAAATCTGCATACACACTGGTCGATTTGAAGCTCGATCGTCAAACAACAATACCAATTTTACATAGACGACAACGATTTCTGATGAAGAAAAGCAGAGGAACTCACCGGTGAGATGAAGACGACTCTCGGAAAGATGTAAGGTCTATTTTAATGGTGTCAATTGCAACCCACTTTTGTGACAAGTACAGCCTCTGAATCGCCTTACAAAAAGCCCTAGAAATGTTCCACTGATTCTATTTATACTTATTCTCAGAATGGAACAAGTTTGGTCTGTTGTTCCACCCGCTACAGTTATTAGTGGGCCGGACATGAAGTGAGAACAAAGTAGAACACCGATTTTTTGTTCCGTAAAATTGGCCCATTCTTGCAAATTGTTCTTGCACTGTTGGAAACAATACAGCCCATGCCAAACAAGTTTTGGACCTCAACAGTGTCTATTTGCACTATAGGGAACAACACAGAGCATGGTAGAACATCCTCCAAACAGGCCCTAAGTGTAAACTTCTACAAATATATATTTCTATGCATAAGGCTCTGTGTCATATACCCTTTTTTTAAAAATAAAAAATTTGTAGTATCTAATATAAGATTTAGCAAACACCAGATATTACCGGATGATTAGCAACTTTTTTCTTTTGCAAATTGCCGCAAATTTTTTTACTTCACAGAATTACATCCATTAAGTCATAGTGTGTTTCTTTTACAGCTTCGTCCCTCCAAAAATAAAAAAATAAAAATGCTTTGAGATATTATAACTGTTAAGAGTATATTGTGTGTTCACATATTCTAACAATAATGTGGCACTGGGGAAAAAATTAGATAATTCAAGAAATGGGTATTGACTAGAGTCAATTAACAATTGATGGTATATGGACTAATAATTCTTTTTTATTTTTAAGATAATGAATGGGATCAGTGCTTGCTTCATCAAGAACTTTTAATTTTTACTTATTTCACTCCTTTTGTTTGGATCATCAGGGTTAGCTACAAAGATGATTATGGTGGAAAGTGCTGAAATTCAGAGGGAGAGAGAAAGTAGAGGAAAAACCCCTTCGTGACGCCTGAAGATTTTTGTTCCGACGAGAGACTGCTGGGGATAGAGAAATCAAGTGGTTTGGAGTTGTTGTACATGTTCTGGTATGATAGCAATGATGCTGAAAAAAGGTTCGAGCTTCTGTACCTCGATTTCAAAAGCTTTACAGAGAAGGAATCCTGTTTTGGTGGCAAAATCTCCATACTTGGCGGGTCCTACCCCACCCCACCCTGTTTATGGCGGGTTTGGGAACCCATTTATGTAAATGGGGAGGGAATGGGGATTGTATTTGAAACTTCGGCAGGGGATGGGGCGGGGGAAGGTAACCCCGCCCCGTTTATAATGCATTTTTATAAAATTACCCTTACATGTTATAAAATATTACTAAATTACATAACTATATATATAATATATTCATTTATGAAAGTGAAGCCCTAGATCTATTCTTTCGCAGCATAGAGAAAAAATATAATCGTTGTGCATCAAACATCTGATCATGTTTTAAATTGTTATAATTGTGCTGAAGTTTTATTAAATTATTAGTTTGAAAAATATTATGATTGTACTGATTTTGTTGAAAGTGAATTAAAATTTAAAAAATGTTATGCTGGGCGGGGCGGGGATGGGGGAGAAGGTTGAAAATTAAACAGGTATGGTAGAAGGGATAGGGGTAAATAATTTGACCGGGAATGGGAATGAGAATGGGGAATGGGGAATAAGATCCCCGCCCCACCCTGCCCCATTGCCATCCCTAGGTGGGAGTAGTAAATGAGGGGTAAAATGGTCATTTTAATTATTTAATATCTTGAAATAAATAGGATTAAAATATCAGGGGTAAAATTGTTTTTTCGTACATTTTAAACGGTGTTAGTGAAAAAAAAGTAAAATTAGACTTGAGTAATACTAATTTTTAAAAGGCGCTTCAATGTAATATTAGTCAAACCTAAGGAAATTAACCCAATAATTTAAAAGAGAATGATGGAGGAGAGATAGAGAAAAGGATAAAGTGGGGAAAGAGAATATGTCTAGCATGCGTGAGAGTGAATGAAGAGAGTCACCTATAAATATGCAAAGACCTTTGATGATTGGGGGAGCTCGATTTAGGAGTTGACCAGTAGGATAGGTTATCTCCTACGGAGAGCTGCTCTGAGAAGCTTGCTAGCTCAATACTTGTGAATTTATTTTATGTATTCTTCTCACTCCATGTATTTTAATTATGTTATTATTTTCTTTATGTTAATTTAAATGCGTCCTTAATTTCATTGCCTTTAGATTAGATGTTTTTAATTTCAGTAGGTTAGTTTCAAAATTACAAAAATGGTTTTAATATTTTTTCTCCTCTCTAATTAACAATTTGAATCTAAGTTCCAATACGAAATCTCAACTTGAATATGGGTTCGACCCTGCTTATCACTATACAATTTTAGTAAAATGATTGTAAGAAAATATTGTGTAGAGTATATATATATGCAATGATAATATCCCAAAATTTGCTCTTTCACCCGTCACAGTGGTATTAGAGCGAAACCCAATCCTTAATCTGGTGTCACGTCAAGCGTCAAGCCCGGAGGGCGTCTGGGTCTCGCCTGAGTAGGCAGGGTGGTCCGACAGTAACGAGGGTGTTGTGCGAATTCGGGTGAGGGAGAATGTTACAAGTGTGACTTGTCCCACATCAGATTTGAATTGAGGTTGAAGTGTGTATAAATGGGTGGGTATGCAGCACTACCCAACAGTTTGAACTTTTGGGTAAATGGGCAAAAGCCCACCCGTTAGACCCACGTTCAACTCACTTCATCCTCCTCTCCTTTATTTATTTTTTATTTTTTAAACCCGGATCAATATTTCTGCTTTGGAGTTTTTTTCAATATTATTCGGAAGAGGATTTTGTAAAGGAAAAATTATATTTTCGGTGAAGGGAAAATTGTGTAAAATTCCCTTCAATTTTTATTTTGGCATAAAACTTCCTTATATAGAAAAACTGTCCTAAAAATCCCCCAAACTATTTCATTAATTGTCTCAAAGTGATGTTATAATGATGAAAACACTTTGTTGCCCCCTCAATACAAATTTTTGTACATATCACCTAATTAATACAATTGCTTGAATTTCTAGTAATTGCCAAAACTGAAACACTTAGTGCCAGTTTGGGAACCATAACCATATTTGTTTTGTGTTTTTACTTTGACACGAAGCACGAAGCAGAAATAATGTTTCTTTTTTAAAGTGTGTTTAATATTATTCGAAAGAGTATTTGTGTTGAAAGATTTTTGGAAGTAAAAACATGAAAACATATTTAGTATAAAAGTGTTGCAAGTTTAAAAAATAAGATAACTAGAGGTGATTGGGGTGTGATTGTCCAATTTGGCATACTTGGAGGTGTCGTTGTCCAAACAATATATAAGTTGTAGATTGTTGTCTTTAACCCAAATTTGAGGTTGTGAGTGTAATTTATTCAAAATAAAATGAGCATGTTTTACTTCGATACATTACATTGTCCAAAGTAGTTGTATAAAATGTGACCCAACTAACTCATAAAATGTGACCCAACTAACGAGAGTCCATAGTATCTATGTATGTTCCTCTCACAAACCTCCTTCCATGAAGTTTCGCGGAAGTTGAAAATGAACGGGTAAAAATAATTGGCCAAAGTGAAACTCTTATTGTGACAAAATATCCATGTTTCCTAGCTCTCACAAACCTGCTTCCTTGATGCCTCGAGTTGCAACTTGGGTCGTCAATATACTAACAGTATATAAATACTCGCAACTGCGCTATAGTTTTCCCAAATTCTTGCAATATTTCATTAGTACTATTCCAAGTCTCTAATCAAATTTATCATCCTGTCTTTCTTGTTTTGAAAGAGGCGGTATCAGTTTTTGGGAGTTCTCTGCTCAGGATCTTACTCCCACCATTTCAATGGAGACCTCTGGAGCTACAACTTTCGTTCTCAAAGAATCATCATCAGTTCCTCAACACCCACAAACGGGAGCCCAACTCCCGCCGTCATCAAAACCGTAATATTTTTTATTATTTATTTTTTAAATCATGAAACACTAATGTCACATAATAGATTTGTGCTTGATTTAATTATAGTTTTGTTTGATTTATTTGTTAGGTTTAATCCCTGGAAAATAACATTAGCTGGAGTATTATTAATTATGGGTAACAGGCTAATTTTGCACTATACAGTCGTGACTCCATTAGTCCTCCATTTAATTTGTGCATCATGGTTCTACCTCAACATTGGGAGCGATTCATGCCCAGAAAGGTATTCCTTATTCCTTTAATTATTTTACGTGAAATTTTATTTTAACTTTTCATACAAAATTTACTTAAAAAAGAAAAAGAAAAATGTAGTAGAAATAAAAGACCAAAAATAACTTTTTAATAGAATTATATTTCAGAATATAGATAATTCTGTTAGTACAATCTTTTTGAGTTTTTATTTATTTATTATTTTTTGGTATTAAGAAATTCAATGCATGCCAGTATATTATGAAGGATGCATAAGATTTCATGATGATTAAGATTTCATAATAGTAGGGATGCACAAAAAAAAATTCTGTGAACTGAATTGAACCGGGATTTTGGTTTTGGTTCCGGTCCAGGTTCTAAAAATTAAGAGCCATCCATTTACCATTCGGTTTCGATTCCCAACCCAACCCGTAGGAATTAAGCCGGAATCGAATCAAACCGGATATATATATATATATATCTATTATATTTAATTGTATATTGTATTACTCCGTACTATGCTAACCATACTACAGAGTATACTACTATCAAGTGTCAAGTCTGTCTGCAATATATACGTATTTAATTGTATAGTGTATAGTCACCATTAGTCTACCCTAGTCACCAGATTCCTCACCGGCCATCACGTGGTCCATGTTATTGGACTTGGTGTCAATGACTTCTGGTAAACCATATTACTCCGTACTATACTTTCCACGCTATATTACCATCACGTGTCAAGTCTGTCTGCAATATATATTTAATTGTATAGTCACCATTAGTCTATTTTAGTCACCAGATTTCTCACCACCACGTGGTCCATTGGACTTGGTCACTTGGTGTCATTGACTGCTTGTAAACCACAAAAGCAAAGGCAAAAGTACAAACCCTTGAATTATTACGGATAGACATTTTATCCACCTAGACTATAAAAATAAATAAATTAATACCATAATTATTTAAATTCGTGCAAAATAACTTCTGAAGTTCAATTCCGGCTATTTTTCGACCAATTTCATTGTAAATTTATAAAATTATTCATTGTAATTAAAAAAAAAATATTAAAATAAATAATTAGCATGAAATACCCTCAATGCCCCTCATGTGACCTGCACGTTGTCTAAGTGTTGTAACTCTCTCCGTTCATCGGCAAATCTGATCAGCTTCGGAGGCTGTGATGAACTTGCGGCGCAGCATCGGCGGGCAAGAATTGGCCGGCTGGCTTTACCGATTTTAACCCAAGCGCTAATCTGAACTATTCCTCCTCCACCAAAACCAGACAATTATTGAAGAACAGTACTGTTTCCTTTTCTTTTTATATGGACAGGAAAGGCGTAGCTTCCAAACCCAAACTAAGGAAGGAGAGATAGTTGTACTCCACAAGGTTTCCATCTATGTAAATCTCTCTCTCTCTCTCTCTCTATATATATATATATCTATATACATAGATAGATACACTGCTGAGTACATCATCAAACCTAAGACCTACCCACAAATGAATTAGACTCCTGCCCTAGAGAAGAAGAAGAAAAACAGTTACTAAATATACATATCTAGTACAATTTCAATATATATATATTATATATTTATTTGGATCATTTATTGGTTAGTACTGTGATCTTTTTGTGCTTTAGCTAACTATATATATATATATATATATATATATATATATTGTTGATAATTATGTATGATATGAATTATCATGAGATTGATTATTACAATACTGGAACTATAATAGTATAATAATGGGAAGAGGAAAGGTGGAGCTGAAGAGGATCGAGAACAAGATATATAGACAAGTGACCTTTGCTAAGAGAAGGAATGGACTCCTCAAGAAGGGTTATGAGCTTTGTGTTCTCTGTGATGCCGAGGTTGCCCTTATCATCTTCTATATTGATGGCCTGGCTTTACCGGTTTTCTTTATGTGGTCTTTGTTAATCTGCTTGCCCTCATTTTTATTATGTTACCCATTACTGTAAACAGTTAAGTCATTTTAATGTAAACATTAAATACACATTATAATTTTTCTTGTTTTGAATATTAAGATTAATTGTGATAAATTTTTTCTTGTATTTATTATTTGATTGAAAATTAAATGTCTTGATTTAATAAACAGGTCAACCCGTTTAATAAATATGTCGAATTAGTATTGAGAGTTCCTGACACGATTATTAAATATGTCCGATTTGAATTTACTTATTTAGTAAAATATCATTACATTAACACGACACAATTATGACCCACAAACATGAATTACCACCTCTAAATGCACCTCTCAATTAATTGCCTCTGCCACTTTCTCTTGCACTGCCCCATGCCCCCTCTCTGAGAGCACGGTGAGCTTCGCCACCCTCTCTCATTCTCCTCACCACCAACGCCGCTGCTACACGTACTCACTGCTACACTCCCTCCACGGCCACTCTTCGTTCTCTAACTTTTTGTTCTCATGATTTCAGGAAAGAAAAAAAAACAAAGAAAAATCAAACTCGCAACGAGCATGACTATGAGTGGAAAAAATATGAAAAAAGGTTCACCTGCGATGGATGCAAGGAGGACGGTTATGGACCAAGATACAGACATAAAAATTCTGACTATGAGTTACATAAGGAATGCCATACCAAGTCTTCAGAACTCAAAATTTTCCATGAATTTCTCAAAGAACGCAGTACTCTCAAATTCTACAAAAAACAGAAGCAACCAAGATGTTGCATTGCCTGTGGGAGGGACATATGTGGCTATGTCTACTGCGAGAAAGTGAAGGGATGGAGCTTTCACCCTTGTTGTAGCAAACTCAAACCTGAATTCACTAATAACAAAGTGATATTCAGACTTCGTGATAAGGCGTCATCAAAGTGCATGTGGTGTAACAAGAAAGGTCAGAAAACCCACGTTTCAGGCTGGTCTTACATTTCTACTTGTAAGAAGTATCGCTTTCATGTATACTGTATTCCTGAAATGAAGCACGAGGCATGGAAGAAAGGGTATTCCATGACATTAGAGGAGATGGATCTATCACTCCTAGATGGCCGACGTCGTTCCAAAAAGTATGGTGGCCGAAATTTTTTCAAGGAAACAGCAAAGATAGCTGGCATACTTTTGGGGGCGGCAGTCGATCCATCGGGGATTATTGCAGGTGTGGCTCCAATTGCGGTGGAACTCTTCTCCAACATATTTAATTAGTTAGTAATCTTAAAAGTTTGGTGTTCTACATCTTGGATTGGTCTCTTAAAATAATGATTTGTGTGTTGGTAATGTAATCTATTAATCCTTTAACCAAAAAAATGTTATCTATTAATTTGTATGTATTATTGTACTTTCTGCTTTATTCCATCTGCAGTTAATTTGCATGCTTCATCATTTATATGTTTTTTCCATGACAATTTTCATATATTGAATCTACTATATCAATATATTCAATTGTATTAATTATGCGGTAAATAATAATAATTTGAAAACATAAATAGAGAAATTACACCTAATATCAAATTTAGGTTTAAAGGGTTTCTAATAACTTTTTGATGAAGCTAGATTGTTAAAATCTCTATTGTGTAATCGAAATATCAAAATGGCATAATTATCTTAAAAATTCAACTAAGTTAGATTTAACAAACTTGTAAAGATCTCAAATCTGAGCTAAGCAAGTACATTGAAATAAAATGTGTGAGATGTGCTAATTAAATAAGAAACAAAGTTAGATTTCAAGTACATTGTCCTTGAGATTTTTCAGAGTATGTAAAGAAGAATAAAAAAACTCTACAAAAATGGAAAGGACAATACCCCATGAATATCATAAGAGGAAGCAAGTAACACAGGCTAAGGCCCAAAATCAGGACCTAACAACCCCTAAAGTGGCCCAAACTACACCCAAGAAAAGGGCCCAACAAGCAAAAGGAATGAGACCACTTCTCTACACTTATTTCTTTTTTCAATTTTTAAAAAATTAAAAAATGGTTCAAAAACTCTTAATTAGTTCAGTTTTCAAGAAATTATATGTTAAGAATTCAACTATAAAAGAAAAAAATTGTCTTTTATAATTATCTGAAAATAAATTATATTTAAAATATATATATATATATATATATTTAAAAATATATATTTTAAAAAATGAATCAAGTCAGTCCTAACTTCTCTGTATTTTATCGCAATTTCTATGCCCCACATAAGAAGCTCCACTTTCATTACCTCTTTCATTCTTATCCAACCACTATGTGACCCATCAATATATTTTTGTAAGAAGAAAAGAAAGGGATAAATCAAAGATCACATGGCAAATATATATATAAGAGAGAAAAGGAAAATACAGAGAAGTGGGAGCACCCAGCTTCCTTGACCAAGGTTCCAATCATCATTAATGGCGTCAGGAGCAGAAAGTGGTTATTTGTGTGTTTGTTTATGCTTTCTAATTTTAAAAGCACAACCCCTCCCCAACACACACACAGACACACAGTAGGTACACAGAAATTCCTTTCGCTGGCTGTGTCCTCACAATTCACCACATGCGTCACTTTCCTTTTGCGTACAATATATAGCAACTAAGGACTCGCCAAAAACATAACAATCCAAATTATATATAACATAACCTGGCATATATAATGTGAAGATCAACACAAAATATTAAAATTAAATTGATAATTGTAATTATATATGTACATTGAACGCGTTGAAGCCTTGTTTTTTTTCGATAATTAACGTTGAAGCCTTGTTGACATTTAAATATTCCAGAACAACTTTCGTGGAAGTAAAATCAAATAAGAAGGAGTCATTGATAGGTAGAAATTACCAACTACGTACCCTCTTATTATATATAATGATTAATTTGAAGTTTCCTAACAACTAAGATGGCGACTAATCTTCAAATCTGTTTTAAATATTTCTGGTTAATTGCAAAGTATATACCATCACTTGGCACTCTATAAATACATTTCCTTGTTGACATGCACTTCATAAAAACCCTAAATCTAGCTAGCTAGCTAGCTAGCTGCCTTCATTTGAGTAAGTTTCTGATATTTTTCTTTTTCCCTCTCCAAGTTTCCTCTATGTGAGATTGCTAAACCAAACATTTTTGGTGAAGAGTTCAATTCAAGTCGACAATCTCTTACTGAAACATCTGAACATACTTATTATTATTATTATTATTTGGTTAAAGATTGTTGTTTCTCCAGCAGAATTGATTTTCATATCCTTTTCGCATATGCAGCTATGGTGCTTGTTTGGTGTATATTCGTAGTAGCAGTGTGGATTCTGTGGCATACATTGGAGCCAAAGGGCTATGTATGATTTTGTTCCAGTCTCACAAACTCGACGACTTCTTTTATCTATTCATCAATGATATGTATAAATTCAGAACCTTAAAAGGGCAATAAAGTCATTTTACCTCCTTGTTAGAGGATAGAGAATAAGGTGTAGCATTTTTTTTTTTTGATAAATCAGAGAGTTACCCGCCAAAATCATAGTTTATGCCACAAAATGGTAGTGCATGGTGGTTAAGTGTAAGCCATATACAAATGTACGTATATATCGCTTATAAAAGTATGGCAATCTCTATCCGATCTCTCTCAACACGCAAACTCTTTCAAAGTAAAGGAGAAAAATATTATTTCTAGTCAACAAATTAATACAAAATCATAGGATATTTGTATTTAGTTATTTATTTTCTTGTTGTTTGATAGTTGTTCTTTTGTGATTAGGTCATGACAGTGACTATCGACGTACAGTAGAACACCAGCAATTCTCCTAATACAATCAACGGTCTAGACTGTAAGAATTTGTTATTTATTTTTTTATCTTCAATTAATTGAACAAATCATAAGTATACACATGTCTACAAAATTTATGCTTTTTCCTGTGACTGTCCTTTATTTATATGGAAATTAAATGCTTAATTTGTTTTTATATATATTGGTTTAAATCCACGACAGTGGCCCCTCACCTTCCAGAGCAAAACACCAGCAATTCCAAAATAATCAACGGTCTAAACGGTAAGAATTTTATTATTATTATTTTTATCTTGAATAAATTAAACACTTGTCTACAAAGCTAGCTGTCCTTAATTTATATATATGGAAAATTAAACGCTTAATTTGTTTTATATTGCTTAAAATTCAGAAGATTGTTTCAAACTCTTATGCACCTTACCCTAATGTTCACTGAATTTGCATTTGACATCCTCGATCTATAGAAGCTAGTCATGTATATTATCTTAGCTAGTTTATATACACAATTTTTTTTCCCTCTAAAATTACTTCACACCTGAAAATCATATGATAAAATTATTTCAGGAAAGAGATTGTTGATCATGATGCTATCGGCTTGTGGGAGGAACATATGTGGCTCTCTCTACCACAACAAAGCCAAGGAATTGTACTTGCACCCTTGTTGTAGCAACCTCAAGAGTAAACTATGCATCGATGGCGTGATTTTCAAGCTTCGTAATAAAGTGGTATCAAAATGCATGTGGTGCAAGAAGAAAGAGCCTCGGCGCCACAAAACCGACATTCGAGGTTGGTCTTACATTTCTGGTTGTAAGGAGTATCAGATTCATGTGTACTGTGTGACCGAAATGGTTCATGAGGCATGGAAGAAAGGGAATGTTATCGACAGTAATATTGATTCCATGGCATTAGAGAAGATAGATCTGCAACTCTTACCTAATTCGAAGAAGAATAAAGGGAAATTAGGTTTCAAGACTATCAGAAAGATAGTGGAGATATTCCTCAAGAGTGTTGTTGGTGTTCTTTTCGGAGATCCATCGATGGTCATTGCATCTGTGGTTCCTTCTGTGGCGGAGTTAATCTCCAACAAGTGAGTCTTTGGACATTTTGCTCCATTGATTTAGTTAGTAATCTTACAAATTTAGCCATATACAGCTTGGTTTTGATTATATATATGGTAGAAAATATAATCTTGTTTTTTGCTTTGTACAGCTGAAGACACAGAGAAGAACACATCTGATATGTTTTGATTGACAAGAATGCGTTCGAGCAAAGGAGTACTGTTCTGAGATGCATGTGTGCGAGGGTGTGGTAAATTACGGTTTCAAATTTCCACGCAGGATTGGGTTTTTTAAGAAGTACTTTGGAAGAATTCTCTTGTAGTCAGTTTTTTTATTTTGAGCAAATACTTGAGAGGAACTTTGATTGTAGTATTGTCACTTTGTCGACGTTTTTCTTTTGTTAAGTAGTGTGAGTCTTATACCATATAAAACTTGGATTTATTTTTAATGTGGGGGTTCATGGAGTTATGTCCATGATCCAATTCTTTTGTAGGCCAAGCCCTGTAGACCCTAGAGTCTGGATGTATTTCTAGATGCTTGGGCTTCAGGCCGTCTCACGAGTTCCTTGGGGCGAGAATTTTTTTTTATTATGTGAAGGGGCTAGGGAAAGCTTGAACCCAATGACTTTAGTGTTTTTTTTTTTTTTTTTTTTTTTTTTTTTTTTTTTTTTTTTTTTTTTAAAAGGTGAGAGAAAAATTCTTAAAAGTAGATTAAATGTGTACATAACATTCATATATTATGATATTATTAGTGCACACACTTCATTGGGTATTTTCGAAAGAGTAAAATAACAAAAAGGGCATTACAACATTACTTTATGTCAGATGAGGGGTATTTTCGCACAATATTAAAAGAATAAGGAGGTTATTAGCACACTTTTTTAATCAGTACGTTCTTACCCTTTTTTTTTAAATATGAGACCATCAACGGTTATTAACAAATAATAAACAAACCTATAGAAGCTAGATCAACAAGAAAATCCTAATGCAAAATGTTAATATAGAGTCATAGAAATCTCAAATCTAAGCTTAACAGGAGAATTGAAAGAATAAGGAGGTTAAAAGTAGATTAAATGTGCACATAATATCTCTATATTATGATATTATTAACGTACACACCTAATTGGGCATTTTTGAAAGAGTAAAATAACAAAAAGGACATTACAACATTACTTTATGTCAGGTGAGGGGTGTTTTCGCATAATATTAATAAATAAGGAGGTTATTAACACACTTTTTTCAAATGGTAGGTGAAAATGTAGCGCGGAATGTTTTTTCAGTACTTATCCATTTTTAAAATATGAGACCATCAAGGATTATTAATGAATAATAAACAAACTTATAGAGGCTAGATCAACAAGAAAATCCTAGTGCTAAATGTTAATATAGTCATAGAAATCTCAAATCTGAGCTTAACAAGAGCATTGAAATAAAATGTGTAAGATGCTTTAAATTAGCAGCAAAGATTTGAAAAAAGAAGTGAAGTCATTGAAGCTTTGTTTAAAGTTGAGATTTTGCTTATAATTGTCTCTGAGAGAGTTGAGGAAACATGGGTTGTTTAATTGTCTCTTAGAAAGTTGAGGCACAAGTAGGGCGCACACAAATTGAAGATACCATTTAAAAATATTTTGGAATCAAATTGATGTTCGCTATTTTATATATATTGAAACCGAATCCAACCATGATATCATTGAAATTGAACCCAAACGTTAAAAAATTGGAACAAGATAGAAAGGATCAGAAATAACTAACCTCTATACTCCATTTCCATATTAAAAAAAAAAAAAAAAAAAAAAAAAAAACTATACAAAATAGAAACCAAGGCCCAAAATCAAGAAGAATACTAACAAGGCTACGACAGGCCCAAACTAAACCCAAGAAGGCGGTCTGTCAAGCAAAATGGATGCCGGGAGACTCAAGCACTTCACTTCTCCACACTTCCATCTTTTATTTCTGTATATTTCCTCCCCTCAATTGTATATTTTTGCAAGTGCCCTGGTGTCCGAATGGCATGGCTAAATTGTTTGACGCTGGATTGCTTTTGGCGTTCAAGTCTTAATACTCCCCTCCATCTACGTACCCCTATAATTCTTAACATTCGTGCCCTCAAATAAATAAATTACTACTACTTTATTATTATTATTTTTTCACGATCTCACTAGCAGTTAGGGGTGCACATGGTTCGGTTCGGTACGGTTCCTAACGAAACTGGAACCGATCTCAACAGTTCCTTAAAAATGAAATCGGAACCAGAACTGAAACCGAAACCGTTGAGATCTGGAACCGGACCGAACCGAACCGAACTGGCATTCATGGTTCGGTTCTAAGGAACCATTGACTACTACAATGGAAACCTAAATTTTCTAGGAGTTTTGCAAATCTCCGGCCACCCCTCTTCCTTCCAAGGCTTGATAAAAGGTCATTTTGGTAGGCAAAAAAAAAAAAAAAAAAAAAAAAAACCAGACAAATAGAAATAAGATAGGATTTAGTTTGCAAAACAAGAATTACAGTCTTCCCTTGATTAATTGATTTAGAAAAAAAAAAAAAAATTAAAACAAAACCCATACATACAAGTTAGTAGTTGCACAGAGAGAGGGGGCAAGCTTGAGAGTTGAGAGATATCGGCTGAAGCTTGCGAACGGCGAACTCGAACTGGAACAGCGGGCTATGGAAACTAAAAGATATAGGTTTTGATTTTTTGAACAATCTGAAATGATACGCCGATATGGGTTTTGAATTTTTGATTCTTGTAGACAGATGGATAAAGTGAAATATATGGATTTTAAACTTCTGATTCTTGTAGATTTTGTAGTTTGCAGTTATAGAGAGATAGAGAGAGAAGTTCAAAGTCGAGAACGAGAATAGAGATGGAGGCGATTGGGGAAGCTAAAATGATTTGTCCTAAAATATTTTGTTTTTTCGGTTTAGAATTACTAATAATATAATTAAATATATATATATATATAATACGGTTCGGTTCGGTTTAGGAATCGAATCGTGAGACCGGAACCTTACTGGAATCGGAATCGAACTGAACCAAATCTCAACGGTTCCTTATTTTAGAAATTGGGATTGGAACTGGAACCGTGAGAACTGAAAATTTGGTTCCGATTCCGATTTCGGTCCTGATTTCACGGTTCTTTTGTACACCCCTACTAACAGCTCCATGCAAGTTCGCCTAATAATTTCAAAAATATCAATTATGTTATTCCTCATAAACATTCGTTATTTCTCTTATTAATAAAAAATAATTACACATTGTAATAATGTAGTACACAATTTAGTACTTAGATCCCTTTAACATCAAAACATTCAGATATATTTTTTCCTTTTTCTTTTCATTCTTTAACCACAAATCTAAATAGAAGGCAGGAATCTTGAAATTATTAGGAAAAAATAAATAAAAATTTGATTTGATTTTTCTAGCACAACACGGCAATTGGCGGGCTCCTCAAAAGGAATAAAGAGACGCGTAATCCACCGACAAATGAGTAGATGAAGGTACTGGGAAGGTCCAAAGATTCCTGCCTTCTATTTTGATTTGTGGTTAAAGAATGAAAAAATAAATAAAAATTTGATTTGATTTTTCTAGCACAACACGGCAATTGGCGGGCTCCTCAAAAGGAATAAAGAGACGCGTAATCCACCGACAAATGAGTAGATGAAGGTACTGGGAAGGTCCAATTAGCTCTAATAAAATATCCGACATCTGCTGGAGATGTCACTTCAATGACATCAGGAGCATGGACTCAGCTCCGCTACGTAAGACGCAAATCTCGAGGTTCTATAAAAGGTTTTCTAGCCAAAAAGTAAGTCGTTTTGAGCTAGCTGCTTTTAAGAAGTTGTACGGCTTTGTCTCTCTACCCAAGTTAAAAAGATAAATATTGTATTGTTCCCATGTGTGGTGTAGTGTTTCTGAGTCGCTATAGTAACCTATTTTGAATCCATAACATGTTTGGAAAGCATTATTTTATTCTTAATAGTACCAAAATACTTTCAAAACAGATCTACTATTTGGCCAAAAAGCTTGAACAAAATTTTGATGTTCTATGTTGTTCTAGCCAAACATTTACTGTAGCTAAACAGACCATAATCTTGTTCATCCATTCCATTTTTCACAACCACCTCCTGCCCTGACGACGACGAAGATGACTCTGCTGCTTGTGCTTCCACCGGCGCTTCTTCCTTCAGCTCATTTGCCGCCAGTATTACTACTTGTTTGTTAATCTTCTTCCCTAGCTCCACCGTCATCACCCAATTCGAGTAAGAGAATTCTTCGGCTCGTTTCTGCCATACTCCGATGTGGGAGCTCTGTGTGTCCAGCCTAGGCAGGTGAGAGATGGTGATGGATGTTTACAACACTTGCAGAGCTTTGCTATGAGGATGTTTGAAAGAGCGATCTTGGATGATGATGGGTAATTTTTTTTAGGGCAAATCATTTCAGCCTCCCAAACGCCTCCATCTCTATTCTCGTTCTCAATTTTGCAAATCCATTTTAGGGCAAATCATTTCAGCCTCCCAATTGCCCTAGTTTCTCTCTCTCTGTGCAACTGCAAACTACAAAATCTACAAGCTTCAACCATTCGCCGTTCGCAAGCTTCAACCATTCGCCGTTCGCAAGCTTCAGCTGCTCTCTCAACTCTTAAGCTTGCCCCTTCTCTCTCTTTCTGCAACTGCTAACCTGTGTGTATGGGTTTTGCTTTAATTTTTTTTTAGGGCAAATCATTTAAGCCTCCCAAATGCCTCCATCTCTATTCTCGTTCTCAACTCTGCAAATCCATTTTTAGGGCAAATCATTTCAGCCCCCCAATTGCCCTATCTCTCTCTCTGCAACTGTAAACTACAAACTCTACAAGCTTCAGCCATTCGCAAGCTTCAGCCGCTCTCTCAACTCTTAAGCTTACCCCTTTTCTCTCTCTGCAACTACTAACATGTGTGTATGGGTTTTGTTTTAATTTTTTTTTCTAAATCAACTAATCAAGCTCCGTAAGTTTTGTTTTGCAAACTAATCAAGCTCTGTAATTAATTATTTTAATCATAAAAAAAAATTCTATTCCAAAATTTTCACTCTAAATTTTTGTCCAGACATGTTTTGTTTTCATTTCAGAATACCACATCACAAAACACTTGTTCTGTTTTAGGCTAAAACAAAACACTACACTACATAACACTTTCTAAACGTAATTTGGCATGCATTTTGTTTTAAGCGTTTTATTTTTGACTAAAACAAAATTATTATTTTTTGCTGTAGGAGTGTTTAAAAAAAAAAAAAAAAATCTGGAAGCACGTTTGGAAA